CCGACCACCAGGAGGCAGACGCTCAATGCAGGAGCTGCCCCTGGTGGTCAGTGTGCTTTCACAGGGGGAGCACCGCTCAGCCACAAGCCAGGCTGACAGCTGGCAAGCACAGCAGTGGTGGCAGGAGCCTCTACCGCCTCTGCGGTCACGCTAAGGATGTCTGACTACAGCTTAGGCTCGCTCCCCGGAGTGGGCCTAAACCATCAGTGGGACATCCCCCGAAGGCTCCCAGACTGCTAAAGGGTGCAGGCCAGGTTGAGGGGACCCCCCGCCTAAAATGCATGAATGTTGTGCACCGGGCCTCTAGTTTAAAATAAAAAGGTATAATAGGAAATGTTAGAGGGCATCATTCATTTTAAGGTTACATATCATCTGGTGATACTGTTTCTGGTGCTGAGGAATATGATTTACACTGGGTTCCCATGTGGAAAGCATTGCTTATGACAGAGGTGACAGAGATTTGAAAGCCAGTGCCTTTGGAACGAACTCTCACCTGGGTGAGCCCTGGCGACGTGCACAGAGATGCTCACAGCTGCATTATCTATAAGAGCACACACTTGGGGGCGGTGGGTCGGGGGGAAGATGATCACTGGCGGGAGAAGGTAATTTACTGGCATAGTGGACGGAATATTACACAACATTGAAAATGAATGGACTGTGCTTACAGGGAATGATATGGACAAATATTAGAAACATAATATTGAACAGAAGACGTGCACAGAGATGCTCACAGCTGCATTATCTATAAGAGCACACACTTGGGGGCGGTGGGTCGGGGGGAAGATGATCACTGGCGGGAGAAGGTAATTTACTGGCATAGTGGACGGAATATTACACAACATTGAAAATGAATGGACTGTGCTTACAGGGAATGATATGGACAAATATTAGAAACATAATATTGAACAGAAGCCAGGCCAGTGTGGCTCAGTGTTTGAGCATCAATCTGTGAATCAGGAGGTCATGGTTGATTCCCGGTCAGGGCACATGCCCGGGTTGTGGCTTGATCCCTGGTGTGGGGTGTGCAGGAGGCAGTCAATCAATGACTCTCTCTCATCATTGAAGTTTCCATCTCTCCCTCTCCCTCTCTGAAAAAAAATTATAATAAAAATATTGATCAGAAAAAGCCAGATTTAGGAGACTGCAAAAAAACACACACTAAGATATAGATCATAATTATAAAGCTCAAAAAAGCTCCACTAAACTGTATCTTATTCAGATATATTTTAAAAAGAAGAGCAGGATGGATACTCATCCACCGTGGGTAAAGGAGTGACATGCTGACACATGCGTCAACATGGATGAGCCTTGAAACATGCTAAGGGGAAGATATCAGATGTGAAAAGCCCCAGGTTTATGGTTTTGTAAAGTATGAAATGTGCAGGGCAGGCAAGGCCACAGGGACAGAGCAGATGAGTGGCTGTCGGGAGAAGGGAGTGGCTGACAGTGGGGACAGGTTTCTTCAGGGGGCGATGAAAACGTTCTGAAACTGACGATGTGCTGCTACAGGTCTGTGAATATACGAAAAGCCATTGAGCTTCACCCTTTCAAATGGTGAACTTTATGGCTTGTGATTTATGACTGAAAAGCCTTTTTTGAAGTGGAGCAAGGGAATCATTAAAAACATGTATGTTCAGGGAACTCTCTCCCTCCGGGAGTGGGGCAGGCAGATAGGGCAGAGGGAGGAATAGCCAGGTAAGTGCGGCAGGACTGGTGAAGTTCTAGTTCTGAAGTTACTCACCTGTGGGTGTTTATCTTATTACTGTGCTTTAGTGTGTGTATTACATATTCTTAATGCGTGTAAAGTACAATGTAAAATTTAAAAGAAACACAATTATTAAATGAGGTACCGTTAGAAGCAAAAGTGCCTTTTGAAGTATCTCCTTGGAGTCAGCCTGTGTGCTGGGTGCAGAGTCTGACCTCTGGTGGCCGAGAGGGGAAGGGCACTGGGCGCTGGTGGGGCCAGGGGGAGTACGAGGGCGAGATCCCTGGGCACAGCTGGTCCTGACCACTGGGCAGATGTCCAGGAGGTCCGGCCACTGCCCGTCGCACCCCCGGGGGAGGAGCAGACAACGTTGCTTCCCTGGTTCAGGTTTCCCCCTTGTCCTCTGTGGCTTTTCACCGCACCCCTTACGCCCAGGAGTGAGGTGTGTGACCACTAACGCCCGTCCCGGGAGGGGACACCTACCCAGGGCCATCCTGAGGTGGTGCCCAGAGCACGGTCTCCGCATCTCCGGGGCGGGGGCCTGGGCACTGATGCTCAGAGAGCCCGCCTCCACCCCTCCGTGTAGTGAAACCGCCTCTGGAGGACTGTGCCCGGAGCCCGTGGGCACGGGGGGCGTGTGAGGGTGACTTGGGGGAGCTGCCTGCGTTTCAGGGCTGCCCACCGCTGGCTGGACCAGAGCTGGCACAGCAGCATCTAACCTCGTGGGAGGCAGAACGGCCAGCAGTGCGTCCGGCTGTGGGGACCAGCCCCGGAGTCCCAGGCGTCATAAGAGCCAGAGCTGCCCAGGGGGTGGCTGAGGGGGTAACCAAGGGCTCATCTGCAAGCCGCTAGGCCGCGTGGCTTCGGGGCCCGAGAGGCAGGCGGGGAGCGGCTGGGCTGCGGGACCCCAGCTGCTGCTCTCAGATCCTGGGTGTCGCTTACCTCTGAGCTCCGGTCCTTCCCTCAGAGGGTCGGTCCCGGTGGCCGCTGGCCGAGTGGGTGCAGGTGGTGACGGGTCAGTGCGGGAGAGCACCGCGTGGGAGCTTAGTGTCCGTGGCCTCTGCCCGGTCTGCACTCCCTCCATGTGGGGAGCGCTTGGAACAGTGGGGTTCGCTGGCCTGGTCGGGCTGGGGGTCGGGCTGAGGGTCAGGCTGGGGGTCGGAGCAGGGGTCTCCTGCCCAGGGCATTGCTCCTCCTCCCTCTTCCCAGACGCCATGGAGGTGCTGCCCATCCTGCTGTGCGGCCTGCTGGCCCCCGCCGTCCTGGCCAGTGGTGAGTACGCGTGGGACCAGCACGGGACCAGCTCCGCACCCGCGCTGTGGCCGTTCCGTTCTGGCCGGAGGTCCCGGCTCCTGGGCTCTGGGGTTGGGGCTCTCAGAGTCTCCGCGTCTGGTCCGCCCTGCCCCCCGGGTCAGCAGAGGAGTCCTGGGAGGCGCAGCGATTCCCGGGCTCCCCTGGCCTGCCCCCCAGGCTCCCGTAGGCTCTACCTTAAGCCTCAGATCACCAGCCCCTGGGGATGTTGGGCCGGCACCGGGGGAGTCTTCAGCCTCTGGCCTGTGCCAGTCCGTGTTTGTCCTGGGCCTCAGTTTCCTCTTCGGTAAGGAGGAGGGATGACATGAGAATAAAGGGACCGTAACCGCTGTACTGGGAGCACTTCTCCGCGGGGCTCCCATGGGCCTGCTTCCTGGGCCCCGCTGCTAACAGGCCCTGCTCCCCAGAGCCCTTTGCGGGAGGGAGGCCCGGGGCAGGCGGCTCCTCCTGACCAGGCTGGTTTACTTCTGCAGCCAGTGAGCAGGTGTGAGGGACAGGCAGCGCCCCCTGGCCCTTCCCTTCCCCCATGTCTCCCTGCTCCTTCGACAGACTACCAGACCCTGCGGATCGGGGGCTTGGTGTTTGCCGTGGTCTTCTTCTCCGTCGGGATCCTCCTCATCCTGAGTAAGTCCCTCTGTTCGCCCGGGAGGAGCAGGGTCTCTGCTCAGCAGGGAGAGAGCCGCATGGGAGCCTGTCGTTCTCCCTGTATCTCTAGGACCTACTACGTGCTGGCACATAATAGGTGCTCAGTAAAACAGGGAAGCACGAACAGGTACATGCTCAGTGAAAATAAGCGCAGATGAGAAGGAGCAGGTGGCCCCTGGTGCTGTGCCCAGAAGGGTGTGAGTGGGGGCGTCTCAGGCCACAGGACACAGCCTGTCCTGTCTGGGGGGCACCCTGAGGGATGGTCCCCCGGGTTTGTTTGCCCCGGGTAAGCCTGGTCTGCAGGGAGCCCTCTGCACACGCACCACCAGCAGACCCTGGGGCAGGGTGTAGCCCTCGGAGCTGTTGCTGATCCTGGGCCTCAGAAGAGCCCTCCCCCAACCTAGGCCACGCCCGGCACCCCAGCCTGCACCCTCTCCGGGGCAGCTGTGGCCAAGCAGGAGCATGACCTTGAACGCAAGTCGGAGGATGACCTCGGGTGGTTTCTTTGCCTTTCAGGTCGCAGGTGCAAGTGCAGCTTCAGCCAGAAGCCCAGGTAAGGGCGCCCT